TTATTTGGTAGATAGGCAGATAACATCCTGATTTAAGGGCTTTTGTGTGCTAACTCATCAGTTAAAATATGTGGAAGGCTAACGGCCTCTCCCTCATTTACACCAGAGTTGCCAGGTTTGGCTCACTGCTTCCAAGCATGGATCAACACATCTTACACAAACAGGTCGTCAGAGCCTGTATAGTACCTCTTATCCCTACTACTTTCTTCTTTTTTTTTTTTTTTTCATCTTTCTCTTTTTATAGGTCCTTCTCCAGACCTGTTCAGATTTTGGTCCCACTGAGGGCGAGTTTAGCAGCTCGGGGTGACAAGAAGTACGGTGGGACACTGCCTGCTGCAGTAACCTACATCTGAACTTCGGTGTACGTGAGGGTCACAGAGTTCATCTCTATATTCAATTTCTCCTGACTCAGTTTTTCCTAGTGACACATACCTGCCCCTGTTTTGATGGCTGACATTTTTATGCAACAGGTTTCTCTGTAGCATGGCTTGCAAAAGTAAGCCAGGCAGCAACCATGCAACTGGAGCATTGCAAAACCTTTGGCTGGACTCCAGGGACTTTTACATATATAAACGAGTGTTTAAATTTTTCAAAAAATCTCACCTGTACCATATTTCGGACTGTGTTTAACAACATGCACAGTTTCAACCTTTAGAGTCTCATGCACTATAGTTAGGTCCAGCTGTGTTTTCCCAGATGTGGTATTTTTCAGCTTCCCTCTGAAGCGTTGCTTGGCTGATTGCTCATGAAATGGGGGCCACCCTGAAAGAAAAAGGGAAAGCCAGCCCCAGTCCGTGCCCAACAAGGGTGACCCACGCGTGCAGCACAGGTCGTACCCCTCTGCACGGACATCTCCAAGCTGCAGCACAGCTCCTGCCTGCTTGGTGGGAAACAAAATTTTCCAGCATGTTTTACAACAGACCTATATCTAAAAATAACATGGTTAGACACCGCCCACACACACTCAAAATATTGACCTTTAAGCTTCAAAAACATGGGGATTTCCTGTGTGGGCTAGAGAATAACCTCTGCTAGGGAAGGCCAATACAAATCTGAGACCATGATGCTTGTTACGGGCACTGAGCTGCAAATCTTACTGGGAACATCTTCCTGGTATTTTTGCTTCTGTTCAAACACACACTCCTGTACAATCCCAACAACCTTGGTGGCCTGTTGAAATTTCCATTCCCAGATGTGTTTGGCACGGAAATAAATGAGTACAGGCTCAGAACAGGAAGGAACATTAGGAATTGACTGCAATATCACTTAAAGATTCTATTACAAGTCTTTCAACCTCCAGGTAACTCTAATTTACACCAGGGATTGGGGAGGACTGGAATTTCTGCCATTAGCCCAGGACCGCTGCCACATGCAGAAACCCGCAGCTCCAAATCCAGTCTCCTACTTTATTTATCTTTATTTAATTTTCTCTGGGTTTTAACAGGTTCAGCAAGGAAGCTCAATGCTGTGCCATGCCTTGCAAGGACAATGCGCCTATTGAAAACACAAGGGTCCACAGAACAGTAGCTGGAAGAGACCCGTGTCCCTAATTCCAGCCACAGCATCTCATCCAGAGATGCATGCTGAGATGAACGTCCCCACGTTGGGAGCCCAGAACCTGCCCACGGACGCAGCAGCTGCCCACTGCGCGGGTACCCTGTGTAAACACACACATAGACAGTTTGTGTTGGTGCTGTACACAAACCGCTCATAGAACTCGTCACGGTAGAGCAGCTCCACAACATGGTCCTACGGGCCCCATAGGAAGTACACCCTGAAAAATACACCCTTTAAATGTTGTGGTCCTACAGACCACTCCGTGGGGGAGAGCACCCACACCACTCCCCTTGTACCTCCAAAAGGGACAGAGGAAGGGAGATATCACAGGGCACCAGTGGCCATCATGAAGCCAGGCAAACAGTAAGCCTAATGATAAGGGAGGAGAGTACTATTCATTGCTATGGTTTCTAGAAACACTCATAAATAACAGTATTGCAATGAATGAGTGGCATGTAGGGAGGTTCGCCTAAGTGGTGCTGTCAGGCTGTCCTGGCTCCTGAGTCTCTCCTCCTGCTGAGCACCCCTTGCACAGCTGGAAGGAGCAAAATTGCTGAAGACTCCCTCCCCTCCTTTGCTTCTGATTTTTTTCTCTTTTATGATGATTTATTTTAGGGAGCACTCAAAACGTGGCATTTCTTTTGTGGGCTCACATGCAGTGGTGTTGGCCCAGTGACAGTTTTCTCAGGTCAGCACTCATCCTAACAGTTACCACAAAAGGAAATTCTCTTTAGGTCAAAAAAACTCCCTTTAGGATGAAAAACTAAGTTGTACTGTTGGTTGCTGGTTCTTTGTTTTTAAATGAAAAGAAAAAAATAAAAAAATACCCACATCCTTTAAAAGTTCTGCAATATCAGAATAAAAAGTTGCAGCCTGTTACTGACTTCCAGCAAGAAGGTCCGTACCAGCCATGGTGATTTCTCCATTTCCTTGCTGGGAAGGAAATGAGAGCACCACAGGTCAGCTAAAAGCCCCATGGGACCAGAGGAGGATGGTGAGGGAGGACACGAAGGCTGGGGAGGAGGAAGGAGCCCTCCAAGTCCCTTCTGGCCATGGGCACTTGCAGAGCCTGGGTGCCCTATGCTGGGTTACCAAAAGGTCTAGGTAGGTGCTGGCCTCAGGGAAGGAAACACATGTACAGGGATATCCCAGATAATTTTCAAGGCTTTGCTTTATAAACATATTAAAGATCTTAAAGCAACCCACTGGCAGAAAGCAAGAAGCTTATTTCTTTTGGTGTGTTTGTTTTAAGATGCCAATCAAACACTCTTTCCGCAGCAAAAACTCAATGGTAGATTTGCCTTTGTGCAGGCAGTTGGGATAGGGCCCAAGAAGTGACAGCCAACAGATAAGGACTTAATTAATGTCCAGGAGGGATGAATGTTATCGGCAGTTTCACCTGACTCATGTGATGGGCCGATAATCTATTGAGAACTCCGTGGAGCACGGTCCCCCCCTTGGGATGACTGCTTTCCTCTCGTGAACGGGCAACGTTGCAGTCAATCTCCCTCCCTGCACTATGAGAACAAAGCTGATGGAAAAATTACTAAAGACTTCGCTGTACCAGGCATCACAATGGGCCTTTGGGAGCACTGTTGACATTGCACGTAAGGAGAAAACTGGATTTTTAAGTTTTAAGTCTGACGTTTTCTCCCAGTGATGGAGGTTAAAGGTGTGATATGAACTGCTGAGTGCTGGAACACAGTCTTCTTCTGCCTGCAGCTTGGTAGCTTGTGAAATGAAAGATACACAAAATGTCTGGTTTACAAATCATGACTTGCAATGAGAAATGCCACGAACATATTAAATAGGGATGGACATAAACAAAGTCCATAAAGTATTAGATAAGTTAAACAGCAGGAAAATGAGCTCTGTTATTTTTTCCTTTGTGGACCAAAATCCCTCCCACAGGGTTCAAAATACTTTTCGACAAATAAATTACCTTCAAAATACAACTACAGAAGTTAAAAGTTCTCACTTGGGACTTCGTCAAAGAAAGAGGCACAAAACAAACTTATATATAATAATCAAAGGCGTGAGGAAACAATTCTGTCAAAGATCAAAAAAATGCATTGAATCCCTTTTTTGGTGATGAACAGGAAGGATTCCCTGGTGGTTTTCCCGTGAAAAAGGGATGCTGCAGAGCACCACGGGGGCTGTGGCCAGCCCTACCGCTCTGCAGGTGTCTGTGTTGGGGAGGGTGCAGAGATGGTCCAACCATCCCCACTGCTTGTCTCCCCCTCCCTGGCACTGCTCTGCTTGTGTTCAAGCGATGGGAAGTAGCTAGAAGGTAAGAATGTTACAGTCAGTGGTAGAAAAATGGCCAAAAGGGAGATTAAAGCCTGACCGGACAGTCCAGGTGCCAAGGCCCGTTGTCCTGAAACAGCCCAAAGGCTACCCTAGAGGCCACCTTTGAAACCAGGAGAAAAGCAACTGGGAAATTAATAGGTCAAACATGGTGCTTCAGAAGTTTTATTTTGGCAAATCCTGTGCCTGTGGTGTTGGATGGGTTGCAAAGCAGTATGCTGCTCTGGGGATGGGGGCAGCCCCTGCTGTGGCTCCCCTAGGACAGGACCCATGGACTGGGGTGGGGGGGTGGTGGTGTCTGCTCCAGGAGCCTGACCTTCGTCTTTGTGCAGGACAGCAACCCCAAAATATCGGCTGGGACACGTGGGTCTGACCCCTGGATGAGCACAGTGCCTGCGGGTCAGGCTGAGATCATATATAAACTCTCCTTTCCTCTCTTGAGTCTCTTTATGCTGTTGTCCCTCTTGGGTTTGGTTTGTGGGTTTTTTTTCCTGATCTTACCTTCTTTTCCTACTCCAAACTGGTGCAAATTGTCTCATGTGTGGAAACAAACAGTGGCCTCAGCCAGACTCAGTATTTCACAGTCACACCTTCCACTTTCTGCATTTATGTATTTCTTCAGGTACACGGATTGCCCTGTGGTCTCTTGAAGCTTGGAGGTGTGAGACCTCCAGCCCTCCTGTTTCAGAGTAAGCATAACCAAAACCTTAAGGCCAGGGAAAAATTGAGGCAGAAAAGATACACTTGGATAGGAAATATATCTACATATTTTTCAGTAGTAGCAACTATTTAAAGCAGCCCAGAGCTCTGAAATCCTTGAATGGCAATGAAATCAGCTGGGGCTGCCAGAGGCACCCAGCAGCATCCATTTAATAGATTATGGGATCATGTAATAGATATGTATCTATAGGTACATAATAGATACGTGATCAATAGCTCATGGGAGCCCAAAAATTTATCTCAGGAATATCAGAATACACACAGCAACATTTCCTAATTAAACAAAAGAAAACCCAACCTCTATGTGAAGCGTTGGATGGAACAATGTTATCAGACCTTGCCTGGCAAACACGAGGAGTGTATAAAACGAGCTGCTCCCAGGGAGAGCGGCACCTCTCCTCCACCTGCCTTCCAAGAGCAATGAATCTCAAAGTGATCTGTGCGCTCTCCGTCATCCTCATCGTATCCCTCAGCACCTTCGCAGAGGGAAAGATGTTACCAAGTAAGTACATTCATCTGCTGTTGCCTTCACAGGTATGTACGTGGGCCTGATCCTACTGACTGTAACTGCAGCAAAAGCATGTCTCCAGTTTATGTGTCAGACAGCCAATGTCTTGCTCTGGTACTATTACCAAAGTTGGAATCAACTTTTTAAATTTTTCAGAGAAATCTATGGCAAAATATAAAAAGACTGCAGGTGAACTCTTGTGTTGGTGGAATACCCAGGAACCTGCCGCAGAGGGACAGACATGCCCACAAGCTTGCTAGAACAGGACCGAGACTGGAACAGGAGCTAGCTTTGTCTAAGGAGTGTTCTGACATTTATTTTATGCTACTTTGCCATGTGAATACAATTTTAAAGGACTCTATCTGCCGCCTCAATAAAAGACAAGTCATTTAGACAAGTGCAAAGCAAGTAATTCAATGACAGACACCTAGGGACGTCTCCAGAATTTTTTGTTTGCAGATGACTGTGCAGTAGACTTAAAAAGTTAAAAGTGTAGCTGCAATTATTTGCATGTAATCCTGTGTTTTTATAGTCACCTGACAAGAATGCAAAGATTTTTTATCTTTACACCTGTTTGAATATCCACTGGACCCTTAACTCTTTCTTCACATGAGATGGGCAAAGCAACAAACATTTACTAGCACGACATGTGAAGTTATGGGGGTTTACTATTTGATATGGTCTATTTGACAGACCCCACTGTGCTGGGCTGGTTTGGCTGCAAGACCACAGATTCTCAAAGGGTGCGGTACAACCCTTACTGAAATCGGTGCGAGTGTAAGAGCAGCTTTTAAACCACACAAATTCTGGTCTTAGCAAGCAACAGAAAAGGTACACATGCAAAGATGGACAGTGTAGGGAAAAGATCCTTGTTCTCAGTGGACGTCTGATAAATGCACTGCTGCTAACAAGTGTGCAAACTGACACCCAGTAACTTGCTACTTCTGTCCTGAACAGCAAAGTGCCAGTGTAAAATGGCCCCCAGCGAGCGGAAGAACTGCGGTTACCCGGGAATCTCACTAGCGGAATGCAGCAAAGCTGGGTGCTGCTTCAATGATTCAGTCGCCGGCGTTCCCTGGTGCTTTGCTCCTAAGCCAAAGAAAGGTAATATCTCTGCCAGAAACACTGATTTACCTAGTGGTTGATTATGCAGAAATGTGTACAACTGGGGAGCAGCTCTGCTTTTCTTCTTAGGCCAGCGAAGTGGACACAAACCTCTATTAGAAGACCACTGGTAGTAAAATGCAAAGTCGAACCTTGCTTACCCATCAGTTTTTTGTCTCATCCTTTTCACACAATATATTTCCACTTCCTTCAGGCTTCTAGTTGTCAAATAACCCGTGCTGATTATTTAAGAACATTTCACTGCATTTGTGGTCTTATTCATCAGTAGAGCAAGGGATCTTCAGTGCTTATTTAAATGGGTTTTCTGTGTGACTGAGGAAGACTTTAGCACTGCATGTCAAAGTCCTCAGTAGATGAATCCCTCTGTAGTCGTCTGACACCTGTACAAAAGACCACAGGCATCCTGTAACTTCTAGGTTTTTTGCTCTTTTCTCCAGCCTGTTTTGATACTTGCTACTTCCTTCCTCTCCTGTCTGTTTCCTAGCATAATTGCATTTGGTGGTTCTTTTTTTCGCTCCCATTTTTGCTCCCAGTCTTCATTCAGTGAAATCTTCAAAATACCCCAGGGGAAATCCTTTTCTCCTTTAGATTCTTCCTTCTAAAGCTTCTGAAGTCCTGCTTCCACTTTTTGCCTTTGTATTCTCAGAGAGGGCAGGAGCTGCTCTCCCAGTCCTTCAAGGACTGAATGTATATTTTACATAACTGCTGAACGTAAGCTATGTTTGCTAGGCTGACTGTGTGACTCCTTCTTAGGAGAACTTCAGGGCAATCTCAGCAGTTGCACAGGTGAAATGAAAGGAATTGATGGTGCAAAGGCAACGTTACCCAATAAAAGAACTTGATATGAATCAAGATTGGTCAACAGGGCTCAGAAAAATAATTTTGCTTTTGAACACTGTTCGCATTTCATGAAAGTCTTGAAAAACAAATTGCAGCACCTTACAGTGTCATTTTCATAGAACTGCTTTTCTGAGCAGAATTGTTTCAGGAGATGAAAACCGAATTACTCAGGCCAGGAGGTATAACCTCTTTACCTGTGATTTGACTTTAAATTGCCTGGATGAGCTGTGATTTCCTCCTAAATGACCTACCTCCTTTCAATAACTCAAGCTGGCATGCAGAGGAGGCTGGGTTTTCCTCTCCCCGCATTAGCCAGGCTGCTCTGGGGTTAGCACTGGGTCAGGTCATGAATATACCCTGTCCGAGGCCAGTATCTGTGGTACCATGATGGGAGACACACGGCATTTCACCACATTGCTGGATCTAGGAAAGGTAAAGCTGGGTTGCTGCCTACCAGACACTTCTGGGGATGAAGTTTTCCCCCTCTGGCCCCTAGAGGACAGCAGCAATTCCTCACCCATTGGTATTTAGTTTTGCCTAACAGGCATTGTAAGCAGTCGGGTGAACCTGCTGCCTGAAATTGGTATGGAGAAGGTCATCATGGGTGTCACGTCTGCTCACTGACCTCACCTTCATGGCCTGCCTTTTATTTGTGAGTTATGCCGCAAGGTAAACAGAGTGTAAAGTAACATAGCCTCCTTCCTTTGTTTTTGCTTTACACAGTGAAGAAAGTATGTCCCAACAATCCCCATGCCAGAGCAAACTGCGGCTTCCCCGGCATCTCGGCTGAGGCCTGCGAAAGGAAGGGGTGCTGCTTCAAAGCACAACCCGCTGGTGTCCCCTGGTGCTTCTACCCCCACATGGTGGAGGAAGGTAACGTCCTGCATGAGACATCGTCCCCGCGTCCCCACCACAGCCCCTGGCAGGGTCCGTGCTGTGCCCGGGCTTGGTGAGCTGTGCCAGCCCGGCGCGGCGGGAGGGAGCGAGCAGGATGGGGTCTCCCCCCCTTCCCGGTGTGGGTGCAGAGCTTCCTCACCCCCAGCATGAGTGGGAAAGAGGTGGCTGAACCCTAAAATGACCATCTTCTTGCACAGAGGGGTGGGTGTTGCCAATGCATCTGTGCCAGGGACTTGTGGGCGATGTGGCTGCACAAGCAGTCTGGGCTCAGGGGTGAGCTCAAGCCCTCAGCTAATGCAACGGTAGAGGTGCAGCTACCAAACTCGCTCTACTTTATCACAAGAGATAAAAGGCTTTGCTTTAGAAATGTGGAACGAAACTTACAGAAATTTTTGATCCCCTACTTCCGTGTTTTTTAATTAGGATTGACCTTTCAGCACATCTAATGTAGATAACCGATAGCCTCAGCCAATTCCAACCCACCCCACAGTGTATTTTGTACTGGAAACAATTCACCATGATTTGGTTTTACTGATCTGAATCATCATTAAGAAACACATGTACGGATGGGGGGAGGGGGGAAGCAATTGCTAAAATTTGCCTTTTTGATGTCCTGCATCTAGGCAAAACACTTCCTAGCATTTTGTGTAATTCGTGGAGAACACATGTCCCTTAATCTGCTTCTCCTCTTTACCTTCCCAGCTTGTTAAAGGAGAAACTTCCATCAAGACCCTTGCGATCTCTGGACCTACTCCAATAGGAAACAACCGCCGGAGGTCCCAACTCAGACTTCATAGTCTGCAACAGCTATGATTTCTAGGTGATTTTTACCTTGGATTGACTCCTTTCTGATGAAAAGTTACTTGCAGCTTTTCTTCTTTCAGTAGGCTAGTACCATGTAGGTTTTCACTGTAATAAAAGAACTAAGACACATTCGTGAGTTCTCTGCTGTCTTTATTTTAAAGCTGTGTATTTCTCCGTTTCCCAGGAAATTCAGCATCTTAGCAACCCGCTGATGAAAGAGTAGTCACTAACACTTCCGAAAGGAACATGGCACTCAGCTTTTTGTGTTAGTTACACTTCACACTTGCAAGTGACTGCTTGCATTTGTTAGCTGCTATGTGGCTTCACACGGGCCACTCACCCTTCTGAATACTGAAAATATTCAGTGTTTCCCTTTATATGGCTACAGCTGTGGGTTTGGGCTTTTTTTTTTCCCCTCAAGACGTAGGGAAGGATACCTTTATTAGCTGACCACTGAGCTTGTCTGGCTCAGACACCTCCCGCTCTCTGCATCTCTGTGTCTCTGGTGCTGCCAATCCCTCGGTGCTGCTCCCAGCGGGGCACGGAGTAGCTCAGGAAGGCGGGTACCTACCTGGTACCTTACCTAACCCAATACGGGCCCCGGCTGCTGATGCAACGTGCAGCTGAATCACCGGGCATTCTCACTGTCAGTCAGTGTCCCCACAAGCAGGTCCCATGGGTCACGCTCAGGAAAAGTCTCTGCAACACTAACAGCAAGACACAGGTCTCCCTGGCCCTGACGTATACCTGAAACAGAGCCTGCTGTGTCTCGCCAGACACAGGAGAAGCTCCTGGTCTCCAGCTGAGCGTGGCTGCTTCCTCCTGGGTGTCTTTAGTGCTCGGCACAGCAGCTCAAATGCTTCCCTGCTTCAGCTGAGTGAGAGCGCAGCAAAGAGCCTCTAAAACCACCGTTGGGAACAAAGTGGGTAATGCGAGACTGCTGCGGCAGCAAGCGTGCTCAGGGCTTAGCAGGAAAGAACGGTTGTGCAGGGTTGTGCTGCAAGGAGAGAGAAAATGGTGGAGATGCATGCCTCCTTAGAGATTTCTCCAAGTACACTTCTGTGATGAGTAAGTTTATCCAAGCGAGCAAAAATTAGTGATTCATAAAACAACTGCATTATCACTCACTTACAATAGGCTCAATAATAGGATTTGAATATGGCAGGATATCGGCTGTAATATGAGCAATAAACCGACAAGTCTGCTTTGAAGGTCTTTGCTGAGAAAGGTATGGCACTGTAGCCCAGGTGAATTTGCAAGGCCTAAGCCCAATGTAATCAAGATAATACTGCACTGTAAAATCTGGTGCAACAGGTAGGTGCATCCACCAGGTACTGGGGCCTTCACAGGAGTCTCACTGGGAGAATGAATGAAAATGCAACCACAAATTAGTGCTATGGGAAATGATCTGCAGGGACTGCAATTAGGCTGCCAGAGTCAGTGCCCTTCCAGGGCAGAGCTCTCACTGAGCCACACGTACTCACCGAAACACTTTTCCTTCTGCAGAGGCACGTGCCGACGTGCACAACACAGAGTGTAAGGGGGCATGTAGGTATTTCAGAGGGACAGGCTCAGATGGATAATTCCTTACTACTCTTGTCTCACCCTCCCAGATCTCTCCGTTGGGGCTGTGCCAGTGAGGCAGGCGCAGGTCGGTGGTCCTGCTGAAATTCCCCTGCCACAGCATACTGGGGCTGTATTTGGCTTTGCAAGAAAAATTATGAACAGAAATGTCTTATTAAGGAGGGTGGTGAGTATTGTGGAGTCCTCTGCTGCAAAACCTGATTGGGAAAGTCTGCCTGGCAAGGCACAGCCCCTGAAATTTCTGGGAACTGCTTGAGCCCCTCTGTTGAAATGGTTTGCATGTTGGCATGGAGAAAAACAGCAGTGACGGTGCAGGAAAGCTGCACTGACAGCAGTCTAACCCCAAAGGGATGAAGCATGATGGGCTGAACTTGCTTACTTGTTGTACCTGGGCACGGTGTCCCCTGCAAAAACCACGAACTGCTGTGTGCTGACCAGCAAACTGTTCCCAACAGCATGCTAAGCCAAGGCACTGGGTCATGCAGTTGCTCCGGACATTTGAGGTTATAAATCAGAGTTAGATGCTCATAGTACAAAGAATTACGACCTAAGGACCTGTCATAATCAGCTAGTCCTAAGGAATGATGGCTATTTACATTAGGAATTTACGTTAAGTAAATGTAATGGATGGGAATTTACATTAAGTAAACGTTTGAGGTTTCTCTATGTTGATTGTTATCCATACCCATCCAAATGCACTTGAAAAAACCGCCTAGCATTCTTAAAATTAACATTATTGGTGACAAAACAAGCTGGTAACAACAGAATAAAGCCACAGCCACTGAGGATTTGAAGATAGCAGGCAGAGCCAAAGTGACATGCCAAAACAGGAATGCACACCAAAGAGGAGTGTGCAGGACCTGCAGAGATGTGGCTACAGAAGGAAGGACCTTCCTCTCCTCACCTTCAGGGTCACTCTGCGAGGTCCCCTTGCCTGAGTCAGTCACCATGGGCCCCGTTCACAGCCCTCAGAGAGAAGACACCTCTGGGATGGAAATCATCTGGCTAGTTCAGCTGTCCCCAGTAGGGTGAATTGAACTGCCCAGAAAGGCCTCCTTTCCTGCCCAGCTCCAAGGGTTGTCTAGACAAGCAGCTCCATATATCTGCTCTCCTTCCTTGGGTTTTCCCATCAGTGCCTCTTGATCCTGGAGAAAGCTACTCAAGGGACAGGGGAGAGAGAGAGGTGGGGATCACCACTGCCCTGGCACAGATTTCTGGCTTGACGCTGGCTTTCCTAGCTGACCTGGTGGCAGAGGCCCAAGAAAGAAAAATCACTTCACGGGAACAGAGGCGTCCTGGCTGCTGGCAATTGATTGCCTTTTGGAGCTCACAGTCTGGCCAGCAGATAGACACAAGTAGACATGAGCAGTTCGTTCATTTATTTTGTGTCAATAGATGGATAAACTTCACCAGCTAATGTGATTCAAATAGCTTCACATTATTGGATTGTGTAAAGTCTGTCCTTTTCTGTCCCTTCTTTGTCTTTTCTTTTCGTTCTTTTTGCTTGTATGTAGCCCTATCCACCACTAGGAAGAGAAATTAAGACAGAAACTTTGAAACTGTTTTTAGTGTTTCAGGCTGGTTACTTTACTACTTTACCCAATTGATCTGTATAATGGAAAGAAATCCGAGTGCACTCACAACGCCTTGAGACTGATGGGTGGCCACACTGGGTCATTTCAGATGTTCATCTAGCCCTCTGTCTGTCAGTGACCAAAAGGGTCGTCTCAGGAGAGATGCAGGATAAGCACGTAACGAAGCTGCTCTTCTAACAAAATGCAGGGCCATCACAAACGTGAATTAGTTTTAACAAGCAAATATGAGAAGCCCAAAAGAGGACTTGCCCTTTGTATCTCTGCCAACTCTGCTTGCACACCCCCGTCACTGTACAGCGAGTGCTGAATAAATAAACAAAATTCTGAATATTTTTCTGGGGGAAAAAAAGTAGCACAGCTACATGACTTTCATCAGCAAAGGTGCTACCGTAACAGGAATCAATTCTTTGTGACACAAAGTGTTTGTGCTGATGGGGCTTTTATGAAGATAGTGAATGACGTTTAACATGACAAATGCCTGGTAGTCCAAAACTGTCTGTAATCATAACAGCTGTGCGCAACCAATGCTTCAGCTTCTAATAAAGGCTGAATAGAAAATGTTTGACATTGCAGATTGATTGCCTGTGTGGTTCTTCAGTGAGTGAGGATATTCTACTGTTTTTTAAAGCAATTGTAGCCAAGGAAAATGTCTCAGAAATCACTCATTTTGAAGCAATGCAGGAAAGCTGTATTTGGCTGACGTGGAGAATTAACGGGGGAGAAAACTAGGACAGACAAGGAGCTCAGAGCAGATGGGTGCTAGCAACAAAGAACAAACCTGTAGCAATGTGAAAAAGGGATATAACTGAAAACACCTCCAAAATGTGCCCACTTACTTCAGATACCATTCCCAAATGTCTCTGGAAAGGGTATGCTTCCTGCTACAGCTAGTATCACACACCTCCTCCAGCAAAGCTCCGGTTCAAAAGGAAGGTTTCAGACAAGGTGCTAATCCAAAGCAAAAAAAAAAAACAAAACAGAAAATGAAATCTTCCTCTGTTGAGAGCAGCTAAATAGCACGGTTCTGCCACAAGTCTCTAATGAACTACTGCTTTTATTAAAGCTTGAAAACTTGACCATGATGCCATTAAACAGCTTGGAAAGCAGAAGGTAAAACACAAGAACCACATCTGATTCCCTGTGTTAAGATCAGGCAGAATGATGATCTCAAGATCCAGATTCAGTTTCCAGGAGGTTGCCCTCGCTGCCAGGCTGAGTCCAAAAAGGGGAACTCACTGCTCTGAGGTGTAGGTTGCAAAACCTTCCTTATAAACAAAGTTGAGGTGAGTTTCAGAAGCTCTCAAGTGAGAGTTTCCCAAGCAGCTCTCTGCCAGAAACAAAACCTCTTTGGGCAAATGGTCCATTATTGCCCTGTAGACCTCTTTTTCCCCATCTGAACCTTCCTCTAAAGCATTTGAAAGCTGCCAGTGTCAGTATACAAAACAATGAGCTGCCTGACTAGCTAAGACAGCATGCATGGTCCCTGTCCCAGCACACTCCACCAGGTACACAACAGGAGGATGAGACTACAAACATGTCCTCAGTACTAGAAGACAATGGCCAAAAGACAGAATTGCTTTAAAATATGTGTGCTGCAATGCATAATACACTCAAGTGCTAGAACTAACTAGTAGCACTCATGGATGCAATAGAAGAGGACGCTGTTTTGTTCAAGTGTCTGCAGTCATTTGGTGCTACTCCCCCTGCTACTGAATAGCAAGATTTCT